CTCAACGGAGCGCGGGGGAGGGCGGGGCGGCCGGCGGGGAAGAAGGCGGGGGAGGGGCGGGGGAGACTTTGCAAAGTGTAGGTTTTGTTAATTTCCCGGGGAGGCCGGCCTCCTCCCCCTCTTTCTCCACGCTTCCCGGAGAAATCACAGCTCTGCGTCCTCTATCCGACCCCCTCCCTAGTCTAGGCCCCAGCTCAACTCGTCCCTGCGCCCGACACAGGGCGCGCCAGGTGAGGACTGCCTGGCCTTTTTAATAGGTATGCGCGAGGCTCGGGCTCCTCTGTGACAGGGTGGCTGCAGCGAATGAATTAGGAGCCTGTGCTCTGGAGTAGGGTGTGCGGGCAGCAGACGGGCAGCGATCTACTCCCCAGAGCGGCTAGGGCCACGCTCACAGCTATTTCTGTCCCCCAGCTTTTGGACTTGGCCAAGGTCATTCAGGTGGTTAGTTCATAGTGGACTCGGCATGCAACAGTGAGGCTTTGGCCCAAGAAGCCACCAAAAGTTTCATTCTAATGCTTGAAAAGGGCTAAAGTGCCTTTGTACTTAGGGCCCCCCTGGAGCCACTGGGACCCAAAACCCTTCTAAAAGACAGCTCCCCTTTAGAGAGAGGGAGGGAAGGAGGGAGGAAAAGAGCGGGGGAGGGAAAAAGAAAGGGTGTAGGATCAACATCTTGGTCAGTTTTTTGGAGAGAGGACCAGAGGAGCAAACACCAACCACGGGTTGGGAGAAGCCTTCACTGTGTCTAGTGATCTAGTGATCTATTTTATTCCTCTTTTTTTTTTTTTTTTTTTTTTTTTTGTTTTTTTTTTTTTTTTTTTTTTTGGTACAAGGGATCGAACTGGGGTCCTTGCGCCTGCAAGGCAGACAGCCGCACCACTGAGCTAAATCCCCAGCCCTCCTCTCATTTGTAAAGATCTTGAGCTGCCCACAAGGCTAACCACGGAGCGTTGTCCTTCTGCATCCCCAAATTCTAAAAAGGATGAAGGGCTGTAGCCACTCACAGAACCCTAAAGGAAATCTGTCTTGGTGGCTAATGTCTGTGGAAGAGTTTTCTGCCCCCAGCTTCGAGAGAGGGCGGCTGTCACTGTTGGGGGTTTGGGGCTCTTGATCTTTGGGGAAGATGAGGCAACAGAGATGACAGCTGTCTCTTCTCCCCCCCACCCCAAGAAAAGCAGGGCTGAGCTACAAATCCAGATCCTTTTCCCAGAATGGCTAACTTCAGGCCTGCTAAAGGTGCTAAACACTTGAAGACAGGACCCGCATCACTGGAGAGAATAAAGTGCCCAAATACAGGAGAGCGCTAGCTGGAGACACATTCGTTAGTTTGGCCTCAGCATCCCCATAAACTCTCTCTTTCTTCTCCTATCTTTGTGACTGTCTCTCTTGCCTGCTGGAGAAGTGTAATTGGGTTGTAGGGATGCCCTGCTCTGGGGAGCCCAGGATTTATGGATGGCAATTAAAGTTTTATGAATTGCAGCTGAGGCTGGTTATTGAGCTATTTGAATGTGATTAGAATTCAATTAGAAAGCGGTTAGTGGACGGAGGGTCTCCGGAGTGTAAACAGACAGCTATTCCAGAAATGTGCTAATACAACATCCTGTGACAACAATTAGAGAGTCTCGGGGCTTAACGTGGGGCAGCTCAGCTGTAACTACTTTTGTACCACAAGGTTGGCTGATGCAACCTGCACAGACTCAGCGTGACCCTAGCCTGCCCAGCTCAGTCTAGGCCACCCTTGCTTGGAATAGGACCATCCAGGCAGTCTTTGGAAATCATTCCCACCCCAGGAAAAAGATTAAGAGTTCAACAATTGAGAGAGACTTTAGAGCAGGGTATTTTTTTAAGGCCTCAATTGTTCAGGTAATGAATAGATTCTCACCTCCATTGATTTTTTTTTTTAGAGTAATAGCTTGCTCCCTTTCTTTCTCTGGGTTAGGTAGGTTATCCAGTCTGTTTGGGGGTGACACTTGTGTCACAGGATTCCCAGAGGTTTTGGGTGTGTTCTTGTGCTACAAAGTGTACTTGTGTACAGACTGTTTTCTTTGAGGAAATCTTAATTAGGCAGGAGACTTCTATATCTCCTTTAATTTATGTCTATAGAAATATTCAGTTTCCAGTGCCAAGGAATTTTGAGGAAGGTGAGGGGCCCAGAGTCATTTTTTATTGGGGAGGGGGTGCTGCAATGATTGTAGCTGCTTCAGGACCCAGACCAAAGTTGAACACAGGGTTCTGTCTGAGAAACTTGCTCTTAAGTACTTGTTTAATTGCTTTGGCCCACCAAGAACAAGTATTTTGGAGTTGTAACCCTGCACAGTGTCTACCCACTGTTCCGTCATTCTTATATTTCTGTGCCTCCCTGTGCCTGCCTTTCTCATCCTTCCTTCTTTGAATCTAGCTAGCCCTTCCTACTATCCCCCCAGGTGAGCTTGCTACTCCTCTCTGCTCGGCAGCATTGCCATTGGCTCTGTCCAGGGTGACCATTCCCAGGGAGCAGCACCCAACCTGCTCAGAGCAGAGGGGGACCCTATGCTCAGCTTTCTCCTGAGAGGGACCAGATAGATGGTCAGGCGTGTGCCCACATTGCTTGGGCGGCTGCACAATTTTATTTCTCAGTGATTCTGTCTGATAAAATTTCATCGTCCATTAAGTAATCCCCAAAATGAGAGCTCTTATGAGCCTATAATGAGCTCTAATTGCCACAACTCGGGGAGCCACGTGGAAGGATTTATTTGGTATTAAACAGTCGGGTACAGAGTACAGACTGTTACCTAAACCATTACTTTCATAATTCAAGGAGAAAATCAGCCCTTTCTAAAGGAGGGCTAAATCCTTTGATTTTCTCCCTCTTTTCAGGATGGTAGGGGATAATTTTGTCTTCTTTGAGTGCAAGGCAGTGTCACAACTGCAAAGGCAACAAATTGCGCCCCCCCCCCGCGCCACACACCTCCTCTTAGCCAGGGCATCCCATCCTACCTTCAATTTAGGCGGGGAAAAAGCAGTTCTGAAAAGCGCAGTAGTCACTGGCCTTCTTGCATTTGGACTCTTCAATTTGCACCTGGATTAGTAGTTTTCTTCTTGGTTCTAGGTTTCAAAAGGTCTTCCTGTACTTTTTCCCTTCTCTGGGATGGAATCTGACCCGAAGCCCTTGTTATTTCTTCCCATTTCCTTTCACAGGCAGGGGAGGGGGAGTAAAGGATAGAGATTTAGGGCCCTCAGTTCTGACCCTCTGATGTGCTTAGCCATCTTTTC